ATATATATATATATATATATATATATATTTATATATTTATATATATATATATATACTATATATATATAGTATATATATATATATATATATATATATATATATATATATATATATATATATATATATATATATATATATATATATATATATATATATATATATATATATATATATATATATATATATATATATATATATATATATATATATATATATATATATATATATATATATATATATATATATCCGGCCACTTTAGTAGGTACACCTGTACAACTGCTCGTTAACACAAATTTCTATTCAGCCAATCACGTGGCTACAACTCAAGTCATATAGACATGTTCAAGATGATCTGCTGCAGTTCAAATCAAGAATCAGAATGGGGAGGAAAGGTGATTTAAATGACTTTGAATGTGGCATGGTTGTTAGTGCCAGATGGGCTGATCCAAGTATTTCGGAAACTGCTGATCTACTGGGATTTTCACGCACAACCATCTCTAGGGTTTACAGAGAATGGTGCAAAAAAGGGAAAACATTAACTCAACAGTAACTCAAATAACCACTCGTTACAAGCGAGGTCTGCAGAAGAGCATCTCTGAATGCACAACACGTCCAACCTTGAGGCAGATGGGCTACAGCAGCAGAAGACCACACCGGGTGCCAGTCCTGTCAGTTAAGAACAGGAAACTGAGGCTACAATTCAAACAGGCTCACCAAAATTGGACAATAGAAGGTTGGAAAAACGTTGCCTGGTCTGATGAGTCTCGATTTCTGCAAAGACGTTCGGATGGTAGGGTCAAAATTTGGAATGAACAACATGAAAGCATGGATCCATCCTGCATTGTATAAACGGTTTAGGCTGGTGGTGGTGGTGTAATGGTGTGGGGATCTTTTCTTGGCACACTTTGGGCCCATTGGTACCAATTAATTATCATGTCAACGCCACAGCCTACCTGAATATAGCTGCTGATCATGTCCATCCTTTTATGACCACATTGTATACACATCTCCTGATGGCTACTTCTAGCTCTGAAGACATTAGGGGGTCATACCCGGTACTAGTAAGGTGTAAAGTATAAAGTGGCCGGAAAGTGTATCTTCCTGCCCGCCATCTGAATTTTGCGTGTTGCCAGAACCACATGATTGCAAACAACCAATATGAATCGTAATAATATCATTGTGCCTCTAATATACAAGATTTTTAGATAAACGGTTGAAAAGAACAGCATTAATTTGAAACAAATATCTTATAAAAAGTTTTTATTTTCCTTTAGAACATCTTACTGAGCCCAAACAGTAATGCATTAATCACTGTGGAATATATCTGTAAGGAATCATATCTGATGCAAAACCCATTGATCTGAAACCACATAGGATCTTACTCTGATCTGATTGCGCAGTTGTTCGGCCTCCTGCCGCAACTGCTCCAGCTCACTCATGGTCCTCCAAGCGTTTCACTCTCTTCCCAGATACTTTGTTAAGGCCTGCAACACACAGAAAGTAGTCCAGCAATGTCAGCGTTTCACTATACTGAACAGAACTAGGGCTTGGGAGAGAGCGTGCAAAGATCTTCAGCTGGCAGTGCTATAGTTGTGTGTGGTTCCTCCGCTGAATGATAACCAAACACTGCTATAGAACTGCCAACTGAAGAGATGTGCACGCTGTACTCCTTTGTTTAATGAGGAGCAGCACTGCTTGGCACTGTCTATTAGTTGACTAAATATATTGCTAACACCACTTTAAAAAACAGAGATATTTGAGAAATTATGTTACATGCACTTGTAGGACTGCACGATATATCATTTCAACATCAATATCGCAATGTGTGTATCCGCAATAGTCACATCCAAAGATATGCAATGATTATAGATGACCAGGAGCAACAGAATTGCATTGATTTATACATCATTTAGATGATTTCTGCTAGGGCTGCACAATATATCGTTTCAGCATCGATATCGTTATGTGATTATTCGCAATAGTCGCATCGCAGGATATACAATGTTGAGTTTGTATAGCATTTTCATGTGTTTTTGATGCCTGTGATTGTATAATGATCTTATCTTACATTCAGGTATAAGAAATTGTACCATTTGTGACCTTGAGTATAAAGTAATTTGATTGAATTACTTTTATCATTCAGTTACTGTACTTGAATGCTGTTAGGCATGAGGAAATGATAAAACACTTTGTTTTAATTGTATCTTTTTATTGATTGCAGGGCTCGAAATTGCGACCATTTTGGTCGCATATGCGCCCGAAATTTTATCTATGCGACCTTGAAATATATTTAGAAGCATTTCTGCGAGTGCTTAAAATTGTAGTGTGCGACCAATTTTTACTGCAAAATGTTCAGCACATGCGCGGATTCGGAAGACATTCACGCAGAATGCATCTCTAAGCTCTTTGTCTGCACTTGAAACGCGAAACGCAGCGCTCGGGAATGGTTTAAAACAGTTGTCATGTCAACTTGCTGCAGTAAACAAATCCAAGTCCGTAATGCTTGCCCCGCCTTCGCGCTCTTCTTATTGGCCCACCACTGCTCTAACACTGAACGCGAATGATTGGTTAATATCAGCTGTCAATCACTCAGCGCCTTCTGGCTTCGGATGACAGAGAGAGCTACTACCGCGAAACATTGTAAAGCGCTTAAGATGAGAATAAAGATAACATAACACTTTTTTGTTTTGTTTTAGAAACCATGGCATCTGCAGTTACAAATAATGACACATCTTACTAGTTATACCGTAAACACGTTAATTCAAGCAGTGCGTGCAGGGCCGGTGAGCGCTCCGTGTATGCTTTAGTCACTCAGTTATGTTATAAAATCTATTTTCTTGTGATAATGGGATTTTGTTGAGACTTATTTTCCTCACGCTTGCATATAACGTTATATATGAATTTTTTTGCTTGTTAGTTTGATTAGTGTTGATTTCAAATACAACCAATATGTTTGTATAAAACTTGTAGTAACGGTGCTCATAACTGGTGGGTGCGACTAAATTTTGGCTGATGCGCCTAAATTTTTAAAGTTAGGAGCACCGGTGCTACCAAGCAAAAAGGTTAATTTCGAGCCCTGGATTGTATTTATCAGTTTGTTATCAGGGCTTGGCATTAACTTTTTTGATCACCAGCAACTACGGCTAGTAGTTTTCCAACGTTACAAGCCACTCGCCATTTTTTACTAGCCACAATTTTATTGTTGGGAAAATATATTTTATATGAATTAAATTGACTTCAAATTTCTTGATTTCAATTTTGTGTTATGTCCACATGCCTCCTCGATCATTTAACTTTTATTTGAGTGTTGTGTATGACCTTGCTCAATAAGCATGAGCAAATGGTTTGTGGTTTCACAGTGTCGCATTGCAATTAGTTTTATTTCACATGACTTGTCAGACCTTAACACTAAGGATTTACAATTTTTTTTCTCTGGCCAGCATAAAACTAATTATATCCTTGCCACAAAATGTAAGTAATGTGTCAAAACAAGCAAAATATAGCTGTATACTAAAACTAAAACATAAGTTTTATACATACTTTAACTAAAATTCAAATGTTTAGTGATGAGCCAGCACTGGCAATCCAAAGCTAAATCTACCCGCATTTGGCTGGTTAGCAGGTATTAATGTTAAGCCCTGGTTGTTATGCATGAAAATATGCACAACACATGCAAATACAGAAATGCACAGCAAATAGCACAGACTGCAATTAAAATGTGTCGAGGGACCCCAAAAAGTTTATAGATTGTTTATTAGATTTTATTCCCAAAGCAGAATGATCCCAATTGATCTAACATTATTATTAATTCTTTCCAAATAGAGATATTAAGTCATTTGGTGACTCGCAATCTATATTGCAAAATAAAAACAATATCGTAATGTTAGATTTTTTCAATATCATGCACCCCTAATTTGTGCAAAAACAAACAACATTTTTTTTTACTTAGAATTTGTCATATTTCTAATCAAAATATTTACATTTAAAAAGCAAAAACAAGATTATTTTACTTACTGTATGCCACTAGCTACATTTCCATCCACCTATTTTTATGCCCAACAGTTGATGGAAACGTCAAGATGCACATATTTTTAAAGTGCGCATAAAAAACGTATGAGTACTGAGTAGGATAAACTTTTTATTCGATAAGAAAAGATGCACATAAACTACAATGGAAACACTTTTACCGAACAAATTCCAGTAAGTGCACTAAAAAAAGGTCATGTGATTTTGTTATAAGAGATCATGTGATGATAAAAATGTGCGTGAATGGACAAACCAGCAGGCCGAGCACATTGTGAAACATCTGAAATGTTCTTTTGGTCATTCTAAAATGCCTCAACTGCTTCAGTATTAATGCTATTATATTATTAATTGCCTCCAGAATCATGAGCGTCTGTGCTTCGTGTCTCACACCTTCAAGCGCATCGTTATTGCATGTCGGCATTGTCTTCTGAGGTGCAAGTAGTTTATTAAATAAGGAAAAGATTTACATAGCTTCTCCTATCCCAGCAAATTCCATTTTTATGGTTGACATTTGGTGCCGGTTAATGTGATGGAAGTGACGAGTACATTCGATTTGACTCGTTGGATTTTATTCGCACATCTTTCATGCGATATTCCAGTTTTGCGGATAGTTAATTCACATTTTTAGATGTAAACATAGCTACAGGTAGATAATTTAGCTTGTTTAAAAAAAATCTTAATTTGGCCTTATTTGAAACGATATACATCAAGAAATTCTAAGATAGAAAAAAGTCGAAGAAAAGCATTTTTGCATTGTGACTGTTCAATTTCTGTATTTGAAATCTGTTAAGTCGCCCCAGAAAACCATCAGAGCAATTCAAACCATCTTATGAATCTGTATGCAATATCTATCACAGAATAATCAAATATCACATTTATATGATTTCACAATATTAGATTTTTCTAATAAAGTGCAGCCGTATGCTATTGTATTCTCAAAGACATGAAAAAATGGGGCCAATCATTTGAACTATACAGACTTAATTTAAAAAGAAACTTTTAAAATGACCTCAAATAATTTTACCCATACAGGGTTTCTTCAGGTTTCATGTTTTAGACTTATAGAGGGCTACTTTATTTTCAGTTAGAAAATATTTTCACTTGCCCAATCAAAAAATGAATAAAATTTAAGAAATGTAATAATACAATATTAATAACTTTGAGTATTTTTTGTGATTTTCAAGTATATACACATTCACAAAACTTATATCCCTTATATAAAGAATAGAACAAAACATAACCGTCAATTACTTCAGTCTACAATAATAATCATATAGGTCAGGACAGTATCCTCGGAAGTAAATAAATGGAGAACTTTTAAGCAAATGTTACTGTGAAGAAAGTAATTAAGAGCTATTTAAAAAAAAAGTTTTATTGAGATGGATTGTTGCCGATTGTATGGGTGTTAATGGCCAAATTGGGTAGCTATAGATCAACAAAGGAAAAGACCTGTTATAAGGAATAAAATGTCATATGATCTCAGTAAATTTAAGACTTTAAGGCCTAAAATTTTGCTTTTGAGATTTAAGACATACTAAGATCCCGTGGATAACTTATGTCATGTTGCAGCCTAAAAGAAAATACAGAATAGAATGAAGTGACTTACTACACACTAGTGGTTTGACATAATACCACTTGACTAGAGATTGTTTAGGACAACCCTGAAATCTGTACATTTCACCACAAGATTTTTTTAGGGAAGCAGTGTGACAGCAATCAGTGTTGCTAAAAACAGGAAGACAGCTCGTCTCAACTCTAGCAAGCCAAACTACAGGAAAAATGAACGATGTGAGTTTTAAATGGCAAGCTTTCATCATCCGAAAGTGTACTGACTTCCAATATAGAAACAACACATAAAGAGGCTAGTTTAATCAATGTAGCATATATCAATTGGAGAAAATATGATAAAAATATGATAATATGATAAAAATATGATAAATATTTATAATCCATAATTTAATATGCACTGTAAATTATATCCGGCTATTTAAAATCGGACAAATCCTTCTTAATCCAGATGTGTTAAGCCTTAACCTATGACACCCTGAGCCTGTTAAACTCACAGCGATAAACATGAGGAAATGCGCGGTCTTAACTAAAATATTTACTGATATTTCACCAGTTTATAGCTATACGTGTCTTGGTAACCAAGATAAATGCGATTAAACGTAATATTTAAATCGACTTTAAACGTTATCTAAAGCTAGCCAACTGTTTTGACAACAGATTCAAGACCACATGTTGCACTAACGTTACACAGAAACATCTCTACAATCCGCTATTAAACGATACAGAGGGTAAAACAAGCATCTCCGCAGATTTGTCAGCCGTCGTGGTAATAAAGCAGCTGTGTTATGCTCTGGTTAGTTTGGTTAGCAAAGTGGCTAGCGAGCGGTGACTGTATCATGTCAGTTACTCAGACCAATAAACAACACTGACACATTACCTGATGTAATAACACTACACAAATCCTCCCGCTGCCTGTGAGGGTAAGACGACTTGTCTTTCCTTTATAATATTAGGACGGCCATTTCGCTGATATACATCCAAAACGATACAAAAGCCGCCAAATTGACTAGATTCGATGCAATTCACACAGAACGATTACCACACCCATACTGATATTGTGAGAACATGGCAACAATTGGATAGAGGGGGGTGAGAGACATGTCAGTGTTTCTAAACGGAGGATATTCGCCTTTTATGTGGGAAAAAAACTGTATAGCATATATATAATATATTTAATAAATATATA